TGAACACATGTCTAACGCTACTTGCCAATAAAAATAAAAAAATACAAAATAAAAAAAATATCCATAATTAAAGAAAAATATTTTCAAACAAATTAATTAAATAAAAAAGAAACAAAATTTGTAACACCTATACAGCTACAACTGATTGATTCATACATTCAGAGACTTTTTCATTTGTTGCCACAGTGTCGCGTTACAAGTCTCTCCTTCTAACAGTATGTTTTATCTCTTTTAAATTCATTCAACCAATTCATATGCTTTGTGACCTTTACAAATGAACTTTACGTTACAGTTTTATATGTAAGGTGTTCTAAAATTACTTGTTTTGGAAAATTTAATAACTCGGTGAAAATTGGTGTTTAAAGAATGTAAATGTTTAATACAATTTTAAAAAGTTATCCTCTCTATGTGTGTTCATTTATTGTCGCGGTTGTAACGACACGCTGTATATAAAACTTTTGAAGTAAAACTTCTCTAGCTGCAACTAAGGTGTAACTAAATGCTTTGGGCGACGATAATGCAATGGAATGCTCTATGGCAATGACATTTTTAAATAGCATCTGTAATGTTATATATCTGAACTAAACATTTAAAATAAAAAAATATTATTAACACATTAATAAGAAAATAAATAATTTAAATTAAATCATTAGTATTTTATCTTTAAGAAATTAATAAATTATTAATAATTATTGTAAAGATTTTTAAATTGTAAATTACTGTGGGTAGGTAGAGCTAACGGTGGTAGAGCCACGCAGCAGACTCGGCTGTTGCACGAATGTGCAGGCTCGTCCGGGTAAGTACCACGACCTCACAGAAGACCGGCGTAAAGTGGAAGTATGACCAATACTTTCGCGTTTCGTCTGGTGAGTGAGGTAGCCGGAGCCCAATTTCCAAAAAGGTTGTCAATGCATCTGCAAACCCTCGGGTGTAGCAGATGTCTATGGGCGGCGGTATTCACTTAACATCAGGTGAACCGTCTGCTCGTTTGGCAACTTTTCACATAAAAAAAAAAAAGATAATGAACAAAAGTCGAAAGTTTTTTCGACACTGTGGGATTCGAACTTGAGTCTATTGGTTTTCTCATTTATTTACACAAAAATTTACAATTTAAATGTTTCATCTAGTGCTGAGACTATAGTACTAAAAATAATAATTTATCTTAAAAAATAATTTTAAAGATTTTTTTTAGTTTAACTTCAACCGCATGTAAAGGTTACATGCATTGATTTTTATATTTGTATTGAAATGGAACAATTTTAGCCTATAGCTTAACTTAGGTTGCCATATCTTTGTTTAGATTTTAGGTTTGTAAGGTTTAGGTATAAATATTGAATGATAACAGCAATATACTTAAGTAATTAGGTATATAAATAATTTACCATGCATTGATACATTGTTTTACCCTTTTTTTATTAAAATATTTTTATGAAAACAAATAAAAGCAAAGTTATTACGTCAGTGAGCACCTGTCGAGCTAGCTTTTAACTTGCTGAACTTGAAATCAAATCAATTTAGTTAACAATACGCTTAGTGAGGAAGAATGTTGTGAGTAAATCTTCAGATCTTTGAAATAATAAAAAACATTTTACAGATTTGTACATTTTACTAAAACACACTAGATGGTCCTACTGTGGACTACACTTTAATCTGTGTAAAATGCGTCACTGTGTGGCCTAGGACATATTATGCTGTTTACTTTGCTCTTATACTCCATGTAACTAATGGATAAGTTATCTTTAAAACTTATAATAAAAAGAAGATTTTCACTTGGTTTTAAGTATTACACATTACATTAGGTTTAATTGCTTTTGAGAAATGTCTGAAACACTTCTTATGTTGAAGGGGGGGGGGATACTACAATAAACGTGAATTAATCTTTGAAGGTTTTACCTGGTACCTTAGTTGAACCAGTTTGAGTATGTATTAAGTATTATCATGTTATTATTGAAACCATAACCTGAGTAAAGCTAGGGCAAGCTGCTAGGTCAGCTATATACTAAAATTGTCCCATTTAAATATAAATGTGAAAATAAAAACTAAAACAATCAGATAAAAAATGTTAATGTTTATAGTTCCTTTACTCATTATTTTTATTAGGGAATGTGTGATGTGATTTAATTTGCTTGTGTAGTATAAGTTCATCAGTCTCATAGCTTTAACTGACTAGTCTGTAAACATAATTAAATAAAAATTTATTTTTATATTACCAGTGATAACATTAAAACCACTGTTTATAATAATTGACAAAAAGTTTTCAGATAATATTTCTTAATGTCAATCAGAAAGCAGGAATTTTAAAAATGTGTCCTGTTAGTATAGTCAGCATAATCATTATCAATATGTAAATGATAAAATTTATCTTGTATCAATATTTTTATTCCATAAGAAAAAAAATGTGTGAAGAATAGATTAATGTACAATGTTTAAGATTAAGATTATTGGTATTTTGAAATCTTCAAACAGTATTATGATAAAATTATTTTGTGTGAAAGCAATATCTAAGAGTAAATCTAATGATAAGTAATAAATTTTGACAATAAATGTATGCTGAAATTCATATCGCCATTTATATTTTGTTATTAAAGTAAATAAAATATTTAACTGCATAAGGTAGAGATGAATTAATAATAAATAAGTGTTTTTCATAGGCGTAATGACCAAATGAAAAGTCATAAAACTGAACAACAAAATAAAAAAACTGGGTTCCGTGCCATTATCTATGAAGACGGCAAAAAGTCATATCCATTGCATGGGAGACTCGCTTAACCATTATTTTATTGTTTTTTAGTATTTGTTGTCATAGCGGCAAGAGAAATACACCAGTGAAAATTTCAACTGTCTTACTATCACAGTTCATGAGATACAGCCTGGTGACGGACGGACGGACGAGCGGACGGACAGACAGACAGACAGTTGAGTCTTAGTAATAGGGTCCCGTTTTGCCCTTAAGGTATGGATAGACATTGTGGGATAGAATTTGTCTGTCAATTAGTCTGAAGATTTGTTTTGAGTAGTCTTGGAAACAACAATGATAAAACTTCAATGAAAATTATATAACATACAAATTGTAAGTTATTTATTTATATGTTACTTTTGCATGATTCAGACGGAACTCATAGATGTCATAACTAGAATACTTTTTTATACACACCTATACCTTTTTTAATCAGTGGATAATGTTAATAAATAATTATGTGGAATGATGAAGGATAGGATTTCAATTTACATGTAATGTAAAATAAGCTCTTGGTATTTCTCTACATATCATGAAACTCATTATCATGATTTCAGCCTGTTTGAGTCCACTGCTGAAAATAGTCCACCCCAGCAGACTGCCATGAAGCAAGAAGTATGAAATTCATTAAACCCAATTTATTGATGTTTTTAAAGTATCAATCAGTAGGCAATAACAATGTTGATAGCTTAACATATGCTAAGAGTGCTCAGATGCTACTGGGCATGGCATTGTCTTCTTGGTGTTCATTCTTAATTTCCGACAATGCCAAACTTAACAAACAAAGGCAGGCCTTGTTTTTACAAAACTATAGTTGCTTGTTACAAATAAAGCAGACAGTATTTTATAACTTTAATACTTAATTTTTTATGTTCACTAGCCTTATCCAAGTTTCCCATGCAGATTGGATGATATCAGAGAATAAAACAGTAGATGAAATAAAAAGTTTTCCCCATGTTAAATGAGAGATTGAGCAACGTCAATTACAAATTTCACTGAATTTTTTTTTAATCTTTAAGTTGAGTAAAACAATACAATGACACACAATCTCAGTAAATATTAACATTCTTGTAATTACAACTGTGTGTTTCTGTAATTTTAAATCCAAAATGTTTGGGCAATGGTTCTTTTAACATTGCTTCAACATATTATATAAGCACAAGCAATTCCTAATATTAAATTATACAACCTAACTTATGCTTCTAAATTATGCACTACATTTTATTCGCAATATACTAATGGCAGCTAATGTTTCAAATATTTGCGGAGTCTCCATATGATTATGTGATGCATAATATGATGAATGATACATAATTGATATAACAAAATAATAGACATGATAATTAAAAAATATTTAGTATGATAGGACATTCAAATCATATGTTTTATAAATGTTATGATTTCTCCAGCCTTATATTTAATTTGTGCTATAGATATTTCTTTGGTCAGTAAAAGAGGTGCATTACTTTAATCAAAAGCAATTGCTGAAGGCCAAATATACCTGCCATTAGTAAACATAACCTATCTATGAACTGTACAGATGCCATCAAATATATCAACAAACAGTTCCAACTGGCATAAAAGTAATAATTCATATGATAATTTCAACTACGGTTACATTAACAAAGCAATCTAAAATAGACATAAATGTTGTGCTTTAATGTATTCCAATAAGTCTTAATACATGATAGTTGGTATCATTCATGAAATAATAATTTATTAGAATAAGTGGAAGTAAATTAATTTAAAACATATATTAGATTTTTTGTTGGCTTCTGTATTTATGTGTAGGGAACGACGTAATAACAGAACTAAGAAGCTATCAGTATTTATAAGACGCGAAGTGGGTACATAAAAATTCATTTGTCTCACCTGACCAATATTACGTTTTAGAATTCTTCCGATAATACGTTATAACGTTTGAAAATTATTCTATGGTTAATACTAATGGAAAATATCTGTGAAACACATTAACTTGACCTTCGGGTTGTAATCAACAATCGAAATCATCTGATCACAAAAACAAATTATCATTAGCCTTCCCTGAAGTCTTAAGGTTATTATTTATCAATTATTTTCAACCAAGAGAACCTTTGCGAGAACCTTATTTTCACCACAATTTAGCGGAACAGAAAATTCATCAATGTAATAGGTTAAAACTATCGGCTCAAACATTACAATACCAAACACTGGCACTATGCTATTATCACAATAATAACACTAAAACTATTAATCAAACTAAAGACAAGAACATTGCATTTACCGTCGGAGTTCGAACGATAAAACATCTTCGACTTATTTCCGATTCCCGTATCCGATTCGCCCTTGTCTATCGGGCGCTAAAAGTCAGCACTTACCGGCCATGACAAAGCCCAGCACAAAAACTTTAAGAAGTCCGACAGTTTTAGTACACAATCACTTTAATATTTTACTAGAACATCACACACAACTGCCGATGAAAACTGATTAAAATCATTTCAACATTACATCGGTATAAAGCAATGGCGCTCAGAAAATTCAGAAATACATACAATAATTACTGCAGAGACCAGTGTTGCCACTTTCTTACTACTGAAACTACTTCTAATCTTTTATATAAAAAATTAGTTATCAAATCCACCCATAAAAGAATGTATTTGTATTTTCATTTTTATTAAGTATTTATTTTATTCGAAATTAAAGTTATTAACTAGGTACATAAAGCTATAACTTAAATAGCATTGTTTTATGTGTCTCATAACACATTACACATGTCTAAACTGTTGCAATTCCATGTAAACATTAAACATATTGGTTTATTATTTATGTTTATAAAGATTCGCTAAAAGTTATAATTCTACTAAAGCGGTACTTAATTTCTAAAGTAGCAACTTTTTTCGAAATACGTCAAAATATATATAAAGATTGTTGTAAAACAGTCTGAGAAAAGCAAGCATTCCGTGAAACCTGCTGTGCTGCCATCTGTTGGCATATTTTTACACGCAGGGCTGTTTAACATCAAAGTTTTCGTTATGTATTCAAATTACAATTGCATTTTAAGGGGACAGTTAGATAAAAACGTGGTAAATATTTCTGCAAAAAGAGATTTCTAAAATAATTGCTACGTTAAGCATTTTTTAAACCGACCCATAAAATAAGAGATCTATGGATGAACAATTACAGGCCACATTACACACACAGGCCCTAGTCAAATAGTCGTTACGTTTAAACTTGTCATTATTAATAAGATTGCTGATGCAAATATATTCAGTTGGAAATAGAAATAGACGATTTCTCAAGCCAAGACTCTCCCTCTTCTAGAAAATGAGTGAAGATCTTATGTTTGATCTAGTACGTATAATCTATCTTAACAATTAATTTTATAAAATTTGATCATATAATTCTGCATCGACTCTAAATTCATAATACCTTTGTTACTTAAGATTATATCTACGTATAACACCCACGTCTGGCCTTATTGGAAAGCTTTTATTTGAATTATGATTGATTGGGTCTATCCGGTCGATGGAAAGGATAGTAGATACTATTTAACAGGGATTTACGCAATGATATCGTGGTAAATATAAACTCTTACCGTTTTTATTTCCATGGTCAAAAATGACGCTCAACTTTTGGAGGCTGTTCTGCCGGGCTTCAGCGAAGAGTCTCCTCTTGTTTTTAGGAGAGGGCTGGGTAGCTAACGGTGATACCACCATTGTAGTTGTGGCCATTTTGCCGTTTCATGACACGACAGAACTGTAATGAGGATTAATATATGTTTTTAATGTAATTTATAATAAAAACAATTTATATCCAAACTGTTTAGCTTTAAAACAGAGTTACACGTGATTGTATGCTGAAATATGTTAACAACTTGAGACGAAAACAATGCAAGTAATACATTTGTAGACGTTACGTTCCCTTATTAGCAAAATCCATATCTTTATCACCGTACTTTGCGGCCACACCATTCGTGATGAATAAACTGACGTTCAAACAGACAAACGCTCGTATTTTTTAGTGCAAATAGACTCTTTGCAGGTCCCATGATTACAAATCAAACAGTCTCGACCAATCTCATGCGTTTGTTTGGTTTCAAGGATTCAAAACATTAAACAGTAACATGTCAGATGTTTATCTTTTTCATGTCGTTGAATTTTCGTGCACTAAAATCTCTGTATGCTGTCTCGTTGTTTGTAGTATTAATTATGAGAATAAAATATGTTTACCTGCGCACGAATGTTTGCACGGCTTTAGAGTTAGACAGGGTCTACTTGGCCGGCTTGGAGTGTTTTACGTTATTAATTCATGTCACGCAGTTTGCACGGATTATTTTATGTTAGGCATAAAATTCTAATTACGAGTACGTAGTTTTTTATAGGATATAAAGCTCTAGAATATTTTGCAAATATTGTTTGAATAAACTCCTCGGCATTTAAACGAGCATCCTGTGCGGACTTAGTTTCACTTCATAGTACCTATAAAACAAAGTCGTCCCGCTGTCTGTCTCTCCCTATGTATGCTTAGATCTTTAAAACTACACAGCGGATCTTGATGCGGTTTTTTTTACTAGATAGTGATTCAAGAGGAAGGTTTATATGTATAATACATTGCACCCATGCGAAGCCGGGGTGGGTCGCTAGTGTTAAATATACGATGGTACGCGGGACATTGACATTAATAAACTAAAGTGGAGTTACGAAATAGAGAACCACATTGAGCTACGTACATTTTTTGTTTAAAAAATACGGAACTTCATATACGAGATCCATATTCGTATGTCAATGTCAATGTCCCTCGTATCAACCTATATTTAACAGACTATAATTGCCCACTAGATGGAGTGACGACCTGTGCAAATGTGCGTGTCGATGGATGCAAGTGGCTCAGGATCGTACTTCGTGGCGGTATATGGGGGAGGCCTATGTTCAGCAGTGGACTGAAACAGGCTGAAACGATGACGATGATGATGATGACCTTTTAATAACAATTTTATGTTCTAAATTTCAACGTGTTCGGCGATGAAGATCTAAATAATAATTTTAAAATTACTTAGACTCGGGCGGAATTTTTGAACAGTTCCATAATTAGTCACCGAACGGTAACATGACAACGTTAATAAATCTTTTAAACGAGAAATTCTTGTGTATATATATATATACAAGAAGAATTATATATATAATCGGAATCTAGGAAACGGCTCCAGCGATTTTCATGAAATTTAGTATGGGCGTAGATTCGGGGGCGAAAAATCGATCTTGTTAGGTTTCATTATTAGAAAATGTCCTTTTCTCCGTTTTCAGGGAATGAAAAATGTCATTCGGATGTGACGGTAAATTTCGCCGCAGTAAAAAATGTTATAATAGCTCGGTAGATAATCGGGCGGCCCCAAAACAAACGGCCGCGGTTCGTATCACGACCATTTACACACTTATTTTTTTTTCTATACCAGATCATTTTCTTTATTTTTTATTTTTCTTATTTCCAAAATACGTGAAACGAACAAAGCTCGGTCCTCTAGGTACTATTAACTAATGTATCTTAGTTTGAAGAATAATTTATAACAGTCTACTTACCTATCTTTTATTGAAAAAAATCGTCACTAGATGGCATTATCATACATTCCTCAAAATGGTGTATTAGAAATTTCATGAAGAATTATAGAATTATCGGTGGTAGGGTCACGCAGCAGCCTCGGCTGTTGCACGAATGGGCAGGCCCGTCCGGGTAAGTACCACGTCCTCACAGAAGACCAGCGTAAAGTGGAAGTATGACAAATACTTTCGCGTTTCGTCTGGTGAGTGAGGTAGCCGGAGCCCAATTTTCAAAAGGTTGTCAACGCATCTGTAACCCTCGAGTGTAGCAGAAGTCCATGGGCGGTGGTATTCACTTACCATGAGGTGAACCGTCTGCTCGTTTGGCAACTTTTTACATAAAAAAAAGAGGCTATGGCGTACCGACAAAAAAAACCTTTTAGTAACTAATACGAGTAATATAGAGATTATTACAAAAATAATGTGTAACGACCAATCGCACTGGAGTTAAGCCTGCTAGGCCTCTATACATCTGTATAGTCCGCCACGCGACCCGTAATTTTACTTCATTCAATTTTTACTAAAAATTATAGAAAACTCACTCACTCTAAATTGCTCTTGGCTCTTCCAAGATATCTTAATTATTAGTATAATGTATTTCCGATGAGTATGGCAATTGTTAGCTCAAAACGAATTTGTATATTCATTACTTATTATTACCACTTTTTGCGTTGGTAATCATAAATAATGCAATACTTCCTCAAACATAATACGTTCGAATTTCTCCGGAGCGGTTATTTCATATTATATACAAAATATTGTTATGCAACAATGTTGAGACTACAATGCATTTAATTGACTATTGTCTTCGACCCGCTCCAAGGAGCTCAATCGAAACCAATTCGGACTGATTATGTCCCATATGAACCAGACTGCCAGTTATTTATACGCTAACGTAATGCTATACAATATAGTTTTGGAAATTAGATGACAACGCTATGACCACAAGCCCGGAAACACATTTTGTAATGACTCTGGCACCTAATGTTCAGTACTATCAAAATATTTTGTGTAAAATATCATTTGGGAATGAGTTTGCTGCAAAGGAAGCACAATAGATGGCGCTGATCATCACTAAAATGCGATAAGAACAATGTAGACCAAAGAGTACTTTTATATATCAGAAATCTTTTATATATCTGATGTAGACAAGACTTAATTTTCGCACGGTGAGGATATCGATCCCTTAGCTAAGTGGTTAGAGCGTTTGGGCGCGGTACCCAAAAGACGCAGGTTAGAAACCTGGCAGCGGCAAAATGTTTCGAGGATTTATTCATTTCAATAATACACATTTCAAGTGAAATACACTTTGAAAGTTATATATTTTGATGTAGCACTGTGCTGTTTTCTTTTTTAATTATCTTAATAGCATTTTTCCATACTTGAAGTTGTGAACACTTAGTCTTAGGCTTAGTCAAAGCAGTGAAAAGGAATGTCCTATTACGTCATATATTTTGATAATATAATTACAATGTCGCAAAACCTAGGATACTTCTCGTTGGCTTCTGTCTCGAAAGAAGACTTTGTCTTGAAAGAAGTTGAAAGAAGTCTTGAAAGTTGACAAGAAGCAGGGTACTGGGTACTTACTAAGTAAAGAAATTGCGTTTGTGCAAACCTTATGGCGCTTTTAACTATTAATATCTATTCACAAAACAATATCACCCAGGTTTACGTAGATCTAAAGTAGTATTATACTACTTACAGACAAAATCAATAAACTTTAATTCACTAATTTCTCTTTCAGAATTCTGGTGACCAGTTGACGAAGGAACGAGGGATATGCTTACAATGTAGGCCATGTTTGTGGTATATGAACGATCTAATTCTCGCTATAGCAGTTATAAGCTTTCCCTGAGCTTTTTTATGTGAGTATGTGGCAAGCGAGCTGATGGTTCACCGGATGTTAAGTGATAACCGCCGCCCATTGACATTTGAAACACCCGCAGGGTTGCTGATGCGTTGCCATTTTGATAAGCTGGGCCCCTCCTATGATGCAGTGGGTTGCTGCTGTGTCTTCCCATTTAAAATGCACGCATGAGCATATGCGCGTCCCTACCCAAACGCGGAGGGCCGTTTTAAGCACGTAATAATATGGACTGAAAGCAATAATATCAGTTAAATTTTTATGATGAAACGTCGCAAACGAGCATGAGGACCAGTTTTTAACGGTAACAGTAACCTCTCTCGCTAGACGTTATGAAAAATTAAAATATCTCGTCATCACGTCAGCCTTCAGTTGTTCCGTGGTACTTTTCCGGACGAACCAGCCGGCCATCTATGCAAAACGAAAAATGCTACTGCTTAACCCTAAAATGTTACAGTAAAGACGTCGGTTAATGTTACACATTACAAGTTGAACAAAGTCTTGACTTGCTTTTATAACTGTATCGATCTAAAATCCCACAAAGATCTCACTCTGATCTGTCCCACACGGGACAACTATTTGTGTGACCGTAAGGGCAATGTTTTTTAAAAGACACACAAAAAAAATTCTAGAATCCATACGCGCAGCTAGCTTCGCTTCCCATAATATCTTCTAGAACATAAATATTTTTATAACTATTTAGGATAATATAGGTTATTTAACTATATTCTGAAGAATCAGAATACAGTTTATTTTCTCTCTGACCCCACACTAGGCGATGCGTGTCCTATGGGAGTTTACAAATTCACTTCTACGTTGTACTACTAAGAGAGTCAAACTGTGGAACGGGAAAAGATATTGTACAAATATACGGTGAAAAAGAAGGTTAAGAAAAAGTTAAAGTCGATGGATAGCAAAGACTGGTCATATTCGGATGCGTTTCTTTCGAATGCTGTGGGCTTTGATGGGTCAGTTTAGTTATTTTTTATCTCCATTAGATAACTGCGAAGTGAGAAGGGCCTACGAAGTCTTCCAGAGATGCGAAGAGAGAGTGAAGGGCAAATCGTACACGGCCGAAACCTGTGAAGAAGAGATCATAGATTTGATGGAGTCATTAGATCACTGCGTAGCGGATAAGGCGTTCGAGAAAACTGTTTGAAATGTGTTATTACGTTTAGAATTACAGTTTTAATAGTGTCGTTTCGGTTTCATTTCTGTCAGGAATTAGCTTACTGTCCAAAGTAGAATACTTCGTCCATGTATTGAACACGTATATAATATCAGCTGACCGCACTTCTTTCTTAATAATAATAAATTCTTGCTACCGAGTCTTTGGATTTTCCACATTTGGTCACATGGTGCATATTAGCACAATTTAAGCCTAAATTATGTTACGTGTACTGAAAGTAAAAAAATCTATTTCACTGATATATAAAGGCAATAATAACTCGGGAAAAGACACTGTAATTTGAGATTAACGATTTGGCGTCTTGTACTCCAACATTCCCGCTAGCCCACGAGTTCTGCCTTTGATGAAGCTTTAATTCTATAGTTACGGAAAGAATACACATCAGTTGTAGTGAAAGTTAAATAAGAAACCGAGCTGAATTACTGAGTTTTCTATTCCAAACTCGTCTTAGTGACTTCGTCCACTTCCTTATTACGTCCCGCCTCCATCGAGACGAAATGGAAGCTTACATACGCGCTTATCAATCAACAGAGGACTTGTATTCTTACGTTTCGTCATAAAGGACACTGTTATTTAAATAATTTGTCTTATTAATGAGGAAAAGATTATCAGCACGTGTAAATATTTTATCAAAGTTTAACACGCCAGTGTACCAAGTTTATTTATAGTGGTGTATCTAATTATATAATAAAAGAAAGCGTGGACGACCTCACTACACATCTGTATATATAAAAATGAATCCCTAATTCCTTTGGTCACGCCATCGCGCGTATACGGCTGGACCGATTTCACTTTTTTTTTGTGTAGTGTTTGTTATTATCAGGAGAAGGTTCTTATGAAAGAAAAAAATTAAAAAATTACCTGAAAAAGTCTAAAAACAACACTTTTCTATATACCCGTACAAACATTTCGTAATAATACTTAAAAGTCAATTTGAACTTTAATACCATACCATAAAGTTTAAGTGTTAGTGGAGGGGCTCCGGGAAGGCAAAACAAGTGAGTGACTGTGGTAAAATGTCACATGAAATGTAAACGTCTCATTGTTGTGCATCACTACATTACATAGTATAAAACAAAGTAATCCCGCTGTCTGTCTGTCCCTATGTATGCGTAGATCTTTAAAACTACACAACGGATCTTGGTGCGGTTTTTTTACTAGATAGAGTGATTTAAGAGGAAGGTTCACATGTACAATACATTGCACCCGTGCGAAGCCGGGGAGGGTCGCTAGTATTTTATAGATGACAATTTTCGCATAGTACAGTGTTCAGTCCTCCAATGGTATTAAAATGTGTAATTATGTAACTGTTTACAAATGTAAGTCTACATCGCTATTATTATAGATTTCAACTAAATAATTTTTAATAGATAGCATTATTATACATACTTTAAAAAATAAATATTTCAGGACATATCTTTACACAACGTTGAACTTGTACTATGGGTACTAAGGTAACTGGAAAAACGCCTTTGTGAAATAATAAATGCAGGGATATTCTGATATACACTCGTATCTACCTCATATTTAATTTTGTACATACTTATTATCATTGACTTAATCGCTCGTCACCCTGCAGTCAATGGCAAATAGTCATCGCATTCGGCATTGACCACGATATCTTCCGAAGGAAAAATGTATCGTCACAACAAAATTAGAAAATAAATAAATCGTTATACCCGCCTATCAGCGGAGATATCGTTCAATGTCATTCCGTGTCGTCCGCATAAATAGAGCATCGGAGTTCCCAGTTCGTGTACCTATCAATAGAGCGTCATAATTTACGAAGCAAGCAGTACATCTGTCACGCCCACCTCTCTATGGATTTAAAACTCACGATCACATATGCTATGTTATGACGCGATGGCACAGTGGGCTATTGGTTGCGGGTGGGATCGTGGTTTCGACGACACACGGCAAATATTTATTCCACAGACAATTGTTCCGGATTTGGGTGTTTATTGCCAAGGGGGGTTGGCAGGCCGCAAAAAACCCTAGCCAATAAATACTATTAGCTCGATTCTTTAATTGTTCCGGATTCGAGAATAAAGAATAAGATTATAAACCAGACAAAACAGTTCACCGGCAGGGCCACGCAACAGTCCTCGCTGTTGCACGAATGGGCAGGTCCGACCTAGGAAGTACCGCGACCTCACAGAAGACCGGCGCAAGTGGAAGTGGACTTGCAAATTAACGAGAGCTTGCAAAATATCCAAACAGTGCAATGGATTGTATAGATATGCCGATTGACCGTTTGGGATTTTATTTTTATTTTTGGGCAGAACTTTGAATGATCTTCGTAACAGCCAACACATTGTTTGCTGTGTTTCGTCTGGTGAGTAAGGTAACGGGAGCCCTCTTTATTTAAAGGTGGCAACGCATCTGCAACCCTACGGGTGTTGCAAATTTCCATTGGCGGCGGTTATCATTTAAAATCAGGTGAACCGCCAGCTCGCTTGCTACCTTCTCACATAAAAAAAAACACATGCCTAAGGGTTGCTACACACATCAGCGGGCAGTTCGGCATTGTCGGTTTGGCGGTATCTGTCGAACAAGAAAGTCGACCTGACCAATTACTGCACTTGTTCGACTTCAATCGGCTTGTACCAATCGAGAAGTTCATTCGAGTCACGAAGATAATTCGATTCGGCTGTGTTGCGGCTGCCGGGCGGTTTGTGATTCCCGAACACCATCTACATTTATTCGGTTTTACCGCCAGGCTTTGCCGATTTATGCCGGCCCGCCAAGTGATAGTCTACGGCAGCCGATCGTTTTGTGATTCCAGAACATTCTTCAAAATATATTCGGATGCTTGCCTTGCCGATTAATGCCGGGCCGCTTATATGTGTAGCAACCCTAATAACCTAACATTTGAGACAACACAGTCAATGACATTTTAATTAGTCGCGTTTAAGTTTCCCGTCTCTATTTTTTAGGTCTAATTGCGTATTATTTCGTCCAGCTTTTTCCGGTTTCCTGAGTCGCGTGCAACTCGTTTGTTCGCAAGTTACAGAAACAAAGATGTAGAGGGTTTCATTAGCAATGAATAGTGTTCTAACAAGTTTTCTTTGTGTCGAATAGTTTGACCGGTATAGCGTAAAACTGTTCGCACTCCTTTTTAAAAGGTGGCGGCCGCGGCACAATGGTTGCGACCCGACAAAAATGGATTTAACTTTACACTACATCCTTAATTTAAATTCCATCCACACCACCTTTATGTCCAGCGTTCCACAACAGGCTTGGAGCCTTCAGGAGGAGAGCATATTCTTTCCTGAAAGGCCGGCAACGCATTTTCGAGCCGTCCGATGTTGCAGATGTTAATAGTGGATCACTTTCGATCAGGTAATCCTCCAGCCAGTTGGCCGCCTTTTTCTACTTTTACTAAATGCATATGGATGTATACACGGTACATATACCAAAATAACATTTTTTTACAATTTTCGTCTGTCTGTCTGTCTGTTTGTTCCGGCTAATCTCTGAAACGGCTGGACCGATTTGGACGGGACTTTCACTGGCAGATAGCTGATGTAATAAGGAGTAACTTAGGCTTCTTTTATTTTAGATTATTTTTTATTTTAAATTCCACGCGGACGAAGTCGCGGTCACAGCTAGTACTTATATAATATGTGGGTATATAATAATAAATAAACGTAAGAATATTATTTATTCACTATCTTAGATTGATAGTTTAATGATGAGTAATGCGTATATATATTTATTTCATTCACTTAAATCCATATTGTAATTCCATTTATTGTATCTACCAAGATTTCTTCTCACGCCCCGTGTTCATTGGTAGTAAAGAAACGTGATAGCTCAAAGAGCCGTGATAGCTCAGTGTCCGGGCGCTCGCCTTTAATTCAATATACTCGAGCAACCTGAGTTCGATCCGCGGTGCCGGCACCAATGAAGTTTTTAACTTTGTGTTGACTTATCACGTGCTCCGCGGTGAAGGAAAATATCGTGAGGAAACCTGCATATTTTCGAAATAATAACAAAAAAAATATCTTTCAAAGGTATGTGAAGTCCGCCAATCCGCACTGGGGCCGCTTGGTGGACTATGCACTGATACCCTCTGTATAGAGGAGGCCTTTGCCCAGCAGTGGGGACATGTATAGGCTGTTACTTTTACAATAGAAAAAGATTAGACATTTATACATAATCCTTCGCTTTCCAATAATTGTGTTATGTAATTTAGTTTCCAGTGTTTAATAATTAATAAATGCAATTATTATTTGCACATTCATTCAACAATTTATATGCATTGTCACCTTTTAATAAATTGGATACGGAATGGTGGAAGTATAACACTTCCACACCACGCCGATCTACTGGGAGGCCGTAGTACCAACCGGACGAACCTACCCGTTTCTGCAACAGCGAATACTACTGCGTTTCCATATAATAATTTAGCAACGTCCTCATAAATTTAATTTATCTTATCTAAGATATAAAAATCAATATTTTTTTTGGTTTGTTCGCATTTCATGCGTTGCCATACCGTCCACCCGATTGCTGGGCATAGATAGGCCATAAGTATGGATTATGCCGCAAAGTACAATCAGCTTACCGTAGAGGGCACGTATGTCGGTGTACGGAAATTGGCAAGATAACTCTTTGAGAACTCATACGATACCTACGCCCGGTTTGTGATACATTGATCATCGTAAAAGTCAACTAATCAGCTCACAAATGGCTTTTCAAAAAGCATAACATTCAGATAGAAAGACAGATATACATAAAAATATTTATATATATTATATATCTTATTCTGATAAAATATGCATATAAATTATAGCCTATGTCTTATTCTGATGTATAAGCTACATTTTTGTAGTTTCTTTAAAATCCATTCAGTAGTATTTGCGTGAAAGAGTAACAAACATCCATCCATACATACAAACTTTCGCCTTTATAATATTACTAAGGATATATGAATGTGACAGATAATATATAACGTATCATAC